GCCTCCCTCTCATCGATAGCGTGGCACTGATGCAGTGGCACATGCCAGGGAGAGGAAGGTGCCATGGAGGAAGGCTTGGCCATGGCATGGACCACTTTGTTATGGGGATGGAGCAGGTGGCTCTCAGGCAGGCTGTGGTGGCACTCCAAGGTTGGAATAGAAACCTCTGAAGGATGCAGATGTGGGTCCTTGCAGGTCACCTGCTCCATCACTGCCAGCAGCAGAGGGGTCCCTTTCTTGGAGCTCAGATGGAGGAGGCATCCCTGCCAAAGGCTTCTCCCACAGTATGAGTGCCATACCTCAGCCTCTGTGCTGGGCAAGGGGTTGGAAGGAGCCTGGGGCTGCATGGAGCTCCCAGTGCTTAAGGAAAGGAGCAGGATTAGAGCTGGGATGCAGCTGATAGCACCATGATTTGGCTTTAATGCATGCCAGCACCTATCCTGCAGGGGCACCCACTTGTCCATGCCCTGGGGTGGGTGACAGACACACCTTCATGCCTGGGGACACCTTTGCCCTGTGCTGGGCTGACAGCAGCTGTCCCTCACAGGTGCAGCCCGTGGCCTGTGAGAACAGCGAGGACAGGAGCATCACCCGCGTGGACGAGGGGCTGGAGGACTTCTTTGCCAAGAGGCTCATCACAGAAACACTGCCGTAAGCTGGGGGTGCTCAGGGCCCCTCACCTGCCCCAGGTTCCAGCAGCCTCCCTGCAAACGCTGCTGGGCCCAGTGCAAAAGGGATGCTGGGGAAAGCAGCACACCCAGGGATATCGCCAAGGGCAGGGCTGGGGGAGGAGGAATGGGATGGCAGCCATGGTGTGCCAGATGTGGCCATGGAGTCTGTTCCACAGTGGGGAGGCAATGAGGCAGCACCCAGGGGAACTGTGCTGGGAATGGGTGCCCTTGCCAGGACACTGCCATCTCAGGTGGAGTGTCCAGGGTGTGGATCCATCCCTTTAGGGTGGGCAGGGTGAAAAAACTGATCCCTTACCTCTTGGCAGCCTGGAGCTCACCTTTTCCAATGCTTCATCTCTCCCCAGCCCCACGACTCCGGAGACCTGCCCAGGATCAGCCCCTCTGGCTCCATCTGGTTCCCGCACCCTCAAGAAGAAAATTGGGAATTTTTTTGCCTTCAAGAAACCCAAATCCAGCCGGGGCTCGAGGTGTGAGAAGGAGCCCGAGGGTGGTCCCACTGCCCCTAGGAGCAGGCGCTCGATGCTCAGTGACATTTTACGAGCCCCCAGCAAGGCAGGCGAGTCAGGGAAGCCTCTGAGTAAATCAGAGGAGGGGGGGCTCTCTGCTGAGCCCCAAGCAGAGCCTGAGCACTGCCAGACTCCTGACTCTGCCCGGAGGATCCGGCCCAAGTACTCTCGGGAGGGCAAATCCCAGTCACTCATCTTGCTGTCTGGGGAGGACGAGGATGCGCTGGGGGTCAGGCATGACAAGGTAAGCACTGTCACAGTCACCAAGCCACCACCACTGTTCAGCTCCCCTGGTGGGTGCTGCTCCCACACATGGACACTGGTGGGGTTACCAGGGGATGTGGGGACACTGGAGTGATGGCTGGGGATATCCCCCTGGGTTGTGTCCATGTCACCATCTCCTGGCAGCATGGCTGGGGTTGAGAATGTGGGTGCCCCGCAGGCAGCAGTGTGGGTGCCACAGGTGCTGTGGTGGGTCCATGTTCCTGGCAGGGCTGTGTCTCTCCTGCAGAAGAGGCACCTGGAGAAGAGCGAGGGGGAGTTGTCCAGCTCCTTCGAGCAGCGCGTGCAGGTCATGCTCCATCGCATCGGCGTCACCAAAGGCCCGGCTGCTGAGAGCAAGAAGCAGCAGGTGGGGACTGGTTCCATTTTTGGGATGAACCCTGCCCCTCCAGGGTGGTAGGAGATGGTGGCCCTTAGACCGGGGACATCTCCCCAGTGGGAATGGCAGCACCCCACTCTGTGCTGCCACTGCCCATTGCCTCTGCCCTCTCACCTAACCCTCTGCAAGGGGTGAATTCCTGTGCACTGCATGGTGTCTGTCAGTCCGTCCCTCCTTTCCTGGCATGCACCCATTCCCTGCAGCCGCATCAGAGCCTGGCAGCAGCACTCTGCCCTCTGCCCCCATTGTCTCTGTGGGCACTGCCTCCCTGATACCCCCCTTACCAGTATTTTTCCCCTTGCAGAGCAAAGACAGCGAGATCAAGAAAGCCGGCTCAGATGGTGAGGGGCTGCTCCCTCCCCACCCTGACCCCCACCCAGCTGGGCACCCATGGGTGGCCATAAGCAGGCCCCCTTGGGCTCCCAGCTGTGGGTCCCACTACATCTTTGCCTTGTTGGGTGCTGGTGGCACTGGGCAGACCCCAGTTCACTGCTGCTGCCCGGTGGCTTGTGCTTGCAGGGGACATCGTGGACAGCTCTGCGGACTCACCCCCATCCCTGAAGGCCCGCACACACTCTGTGTCCACAGGTGGGTCACCACTGCATGCTGGGGGGTCACACCAGCCCCTGGGGCAGAGGGCTTCATCCCCTCTCCTCGCACCAAGCATGGGGACTGGAGCCAACAAGGACTGGTGGGCACAGGCACGTGGGCACAATTCCACCCTCGGGAGGGTGCCCTATGCCCATGGGTGCCCATCCCTGCTGTTGGCAGATGGCCACCAGCCCACTGCCCAGTCCCTGGGCTGACTGCAGGCTGGTTCCCAGCACCAAGAACCATCTCTGGGGCTGTCACTTCTGGATGCCCACAGCTCCATCCTGCCTGCCCCACAGACGCACCCTTCCGCAGCCCAGCCGCCAGGACGGAGCCCAGCGCCGAGCCCCGGCCAGCCTGGAAAGCCCTGGGAAGGCAGCTGCCCGCTGAGCCTCCGGCCACCAGCTCCGACCAGCCCCGGCGCTCGCTCACCCTGGCAGAGCCCAGCGGGCTGCCGGAGCCCGGGGGCCGGGAGGGCTGGAGCAGCAGCCTGCCACGGCTGGGCAGGAACGTGCCGGTGGCACTGCCACGGAGGGTCAGCCATGGTGGGGAGGTGGGTGCTGGCACCCTGCCCACCCTGCCCACACCGCCCAATAATGAAGGTAGGGATGCATGAGGTGCCCATGGGTGCCCCATTCCACTGCTGGCCTGTTGTTGGAGTCCTTGGGATGGAGGGCAGCAGGGAGCCAAGCACACGGTGGGGGCCTGCCAGGTGGGGTGCTGTGGGCTGTCCTCCAATGGCACCTCCCCATTGCTTACACAGACACCCGGCTGATGGCACGGCTGGCAGCACCACGGGGACCCAGCCGCAGAGCACTGTCCGTCCACGAGGAGCAGCTCAGGGAGCCCGAGTGCCCGGCAGAGCTGGGAAGTAAGTTGTGTGTGAAGTGGGACCCCAAGCCCTCCTTGCACCTAACACCAACAGAGGTGGGTGGTGGTGGTGTTCCACATGCATGCTGGTGCTGCCTCTCCCAGCTGGGGGCGATAGACAATGGCACTGCCATAATGGGAAGTTCCCAAGGGGAATTCAGCATTGGGATCAGTTCCAGCAGGTGCCAGGCCACTGTGCCCCACCCTAACGTGGGCCTGGGTTGTGTTTCCCCCAGTGGGCACCGTTCCCCTGCGCCTGCGGCGTTCGCCTGTGCTCAGGCACAGGACCAAGCACGAGTCCCTCTCAGAGATGGAGGGTGAGCCTGGACCAACCTCGGATGCTGAAGGTGAGAAGTTCCCCTCCCTGCTAAAGCAGCTGTTGGGGTACCAAGGGTCCCCCCATGCTCACCCCAGCACCTGTGACTTGTGTAGGTACCCCGCTGCAGGACTGGCCCCGTGCCGGGCTGGAGGAGCTGCAGGCTGGCACAGGCACTGAGGGTGAGCAGCCGCAAGCCCTGGCACAAACTGTTGGGAATGCACAAGACTCAGCTGCCGTAGACCAAAGACGCCCAGTGCCGGGCCAGGAGGAGCCGGCCCTGGGACAGTGAAGCCCCTGCATGTCACCACGCTGCTCCCAACAAAACCCTGCAAGCAAGCGCGCCGTGCCGGGGTGCTTGGCAGCTGGGGTGCAGAGAGGACAGACGGGCACCAGGCTGGCGTGGATGTGCCAATGATGGCATCGCCCAATTTCCGCCATGGGGACAGCCGGGCCACCAGCACTGCCCAGGATGCCCAGGGACTGTCAGAGCCTGCAGGATGCATCCAGCGGTGTTGCAGTCCCCAGTGCCCTCTGTCGCCGTGGGCTGCAGCGGGGGCGCCGGTGATTTTAGGCAGCCAGCTATTTTTAGGAAGTGTTCCCAAGGCACTTTCACCACTCCAGCTCCTGCCCCATGGGGTACTGCTCTCTCCAGCCCCCGCCAGACGCAGGCTTCCATCACCGGGACCACGACCCAGCCTTTCAGCACGCAGCTCCATCCCCGCAGCTCCCTGACGGCACCAGCGTGATCCCGACACCCCAGTGGCTTTCTCCTGTGTTGCCCTCTGCTCCGGACCAAACGCATTCCTCACACGGATGTTTACGACAAAGCAAGATGCTTGTTTTGGTTTTTTTTTCTTTTTTCTTTTTTTTTTTAATACAAGAGCTGTGTATTTAAAAAATATACAATTTTTAATTTCTACAGCATAACCCTGTGGGATATTTTTTGTAATAAACAGTGCAGGACCCTACCTAAACTTATTCAATAAACCATCCAAGCTCCTGGGGTACCTTTGGAGCAAGATCAGCTTGTGGGGCCTCTGCCATTGCTGCTACGGTGGCACTGGGTCACCTCTTGTCCCCACCTGCTGGGACAAGGCATTTGAAAAGGATGAAGAGGTGGGAGAGGGATGCTGGTTCACACATAGGCAGGCCTGAATGAATGCTTTTCTCCCCTCTTGGCACTGAGGGTATTGGCTTTCAACAGGTCATATGCCAGCACCCCTGGAACCACGGTTTCTGCAGCCAGGAGAGCCCACTCAGCAGTCTCCTGGGGCACAGTGCTTCTGGTATCCCCACATCCCTCCCCCCAACCACTCTTCCCAGTGTTCTGACAAACCCACTGAAGAAACAAAGGAATGAAAGATGGGCTGGGCTCAGGAGTCCTCGTCCTCCTCCTCCTCCTCCTCAGTCAGCATCCAGCATGCCCACATCAGCATTGCCTTTGATATCCTGAGAAACCAGACAGGAGGAGCCAGGGTGAGAAGAAACCCAGCTGTGGACATGCCACTGGGGCAGCTGGTGACAAGGGGTAGGGCAGAGGTTGGGGACTCACTATAGGTATGTGAGTCCCACTGCAGGAACAAGGGACAGCCACGAGTCCATGGCTGATATGACACTGACCTGATAGATTGTACCTGCTGGCAGAGCTCGGGGCTCGGTGCCTCGTACTGGTACTGGGGTGGTCTCTCCATGAACTACAAAAGCAAAGGGGAGGGTGAGATGAGTCTGCTCCAGCCAGAGTACCCAGAGTGCTGCCCCATGCAGCGTGAGAGCCCAATAACCCCAGGGAAACACCTAGGATTGAGGTATCTTTCCCTCACTTCTGATCTTTTACCCAGATAGCTCAGAAGATGCTCCAGCAACTGTTTGTTCCTACCCAAATGTTTAACTCAGGCTAAACCACATCTTCACCATCCCTGGAGGGATTTAAAGACCTGTGGATATGGCAGCTGGGGCTATGGTTCAGTGGTGGCTTGACAGTGCTGAGGAATGGTTAGACTTCCATCTCAGGAGCTCTTTTCCAGCCTAAGTGATTACATGACTCCCTCATGATTCCCAGATCCTCCACCATCTACCCATCTACACTGACACCTGCATTCAATTTCCCATCCCCACCAGCCTGGTGAGGAAAGATCTTGGGGATGGAGACCAGTGCTGTGGGCACAGAGAGCCCCCCCAGGCACCCCCAGCCCTCAGGGGACCTCACCAGCTGCTTTGTATTTACCGACTCCCGAGCACTGCACTGCTCTGGCCTGGAGCTGGGCCCAGCTCCTGCAGGGGATGCTTGCTCTTCCTCCTCCTCCATTTCCTCCTCCTCCTCCTCTTCCTCCTCAAGCTCCTTTCTATTTTGCAGCCCTGTCTCCTTTCTGCTCTTCTTTGCACCCTGTGGGCTCCCGAGCACCGATCCCTTGCGTGTGCCTCTCCCCCTGTGCTTCGAGGTGCCTGGGAGATGCTGCTGCTCACTGCAGGCCTGCTCATCTTCCTCCACCAGCTTCCTCTTGGCAACCACAGTCTCTCCTCCCTTTGTCCTGGTGTGAGCCAGTCCAGGCTTCAACGCCTCTGCAGAGGAAGCTGTGCCACTGGAGCAGGCCTGCTCCCTGTGAGGAATCCTGCCAGGCGGCGATTGCAAGCTGCTGCTGGGCAAGACTGGGAAAGCTGGAGAAAGAGTGGGCAGGGTGGGCTGAGAGCCCCTGCATCTCTGCAGGCTTTGATCAGCACACAGAGCATCCCAGGCTGCCTCTGCAGCTGATGCTGCCTCACTGGTGCTGATCTCCACCAGACTGGGATGGCTGTAGCAGCGGAGCAGGGAGGGAGAGGAGGTCTGTGCTGGCTCTCCCCGGGGTGAGCCCTCAGCAGAGCTCTGGCTGCACACTTCCAGTAGGTCAGTGGTGTTGCTGTCAGCAGCCACATCTTTCTGGGTCTTCAGGGGAGGGTCAGATTGAAAGGTCTTCTCTAGTAAGAGGAAAAGCATCATCAATTTGAGCAGGGTGGTGGTGGGACCTGCCCTGGCACACAGGAAGAGTGTCAGGGCTGGAATGATGCAGGTCCAGGCTATGGGAACACCACAGCACTGCTTTATGGCCAGGGGAAACCAAGCCAGCATCATTAAGAAGAGAGGAGCTGTCTCCTGCCAGGAAGGCAGCCTGGATGCCCTGGGACATGGGGACTCACCATCTGAAGAGCTCGGGGTCAAAGACAACGAGGGCATCCCATTCCAGGGGTTGTCCAGGGATCCCTCCAGGCTATCTGACGAGGTTGGTGATGCAGCACCTGCAACGAAGAAGCCAGAGGGTTGATTTTAGCAAAGAAAGCAGCTGCCCATTCCCTGTGGGTCCCCTGTGCACAAGGTCTCAGAGACAGCTCTTGAGGGGAGCTCTGCAGCCCTTTCCAGCCCAAAATGTGGCATATCCCAGTGAGATCCTCTCCAAGATCTCACAGGGCAGGTGGTGGAGAGGCAGACACTGCCCAGAGAGCAGGCAGCTATGAAGAAGGCCTTCTCCTACACCCTGCACTGCCCAGGACAGTTCTTCCCTTCAGCTCCTCCTCCACATGGAGCTTCCACAGGTAATTCTGCAGCAAAGCTTGGTGACACCAAGCCAAGTAAGGTGACACAAACCCATGGTGGTGCTGAGCCAGAGAGAAGCCCACACCAGGGCAGGAGACTCACGCTCAGTGGTGGCATCAAAATGACTTCTTGTGCTCCCAGCACAACCAACCAAAGCTGCAGCTTCAAGAAGCTTGAGGACTGGGACCATCCCCTGCCTGCTCAACATCTCCCAAAGACCTGGCCACACCAGTACCTCCTCCACTCAATCCAGGGAGATGGGCTGAGCCAACTGTAGAGGAAACTAAAGGCTGGATGGGATCTGGAGCGTTCATAGGATGCCATGAGGATGATCCAAGGGCTGGAGCACTGCTGCTATGGAGACAGGCTGAGAGAGTTGGGATTATTCAGCTTGGAGAATTGAAAGCTCTAAGGAGACCTTCAAGAACCTTCCAGTATCTAAAGAGGCTCCAAGAGGGCTGGAGAAAGACTTTAGACAAGGCCATGGAGTGGCAGACAAAGGGGAATGGCCTCACACTGACAGAGGGCAGTTAGATATTTTTAAGAAATTCTTCCCTGTGAGGGTGGGGAGGCCCTGGCACATGTTGCCCAGTGAAGATGTGGCTGCCCCAGCCCTGGAAGGTGTTCAAGGCTAAGTTGGACAGGGCTTGGAGCAACCTGGTCTAGTGCAATGTGCCCCTACTCATAGAAGAGATTGGGGCTAGATATTCTTTAAGGTCCCTTCCAACACAAATCCTTCCAGGATCTGCAGATTCTGCTACTCACAGCTGATTTGAGATACAACACTTGGGTCTCCTGGCACTGTCCTGTCATCACTACTCTTTCCAGGAGCTGCTTGGCTTGTATCTGCAATGAAAGGGGCACTGTTGGTCATATCCCCAGCATGAGGCACACCCAGAGCAAGGGAACTCTTCTCCCCACCCCAGGGGGCCCCTAATTCCACATGCCTGGGTGCTGCACTGCCTACCTGTGTACCCTGCAGACACTGCCTCAGAAGAATCACAAACCACTGCCTCCTCCTCAGGAGGGATCACCAGGGCACTGACTGGGACCATGAAAACATCCTCACCCTGCTGAAATGAGACACGTGACAAGGTTTTTGCTGAGCAGTCCCTCTCCAGATGCAGGAGTCCACCTGTGCCTGCCCACCCAACACCATCTCCCTCCCCAGCAAACCTCCAGCTCTGCCCACTGTCCTTTCCCTTCCTTCTCCCACCCACCAGAGCACCCCAAGCTGTCCCAGCTGGTCCCAGCAGGACAGACTGACCTCCTTCTTGCGCTCTGCCTCCCACTGGGTGATGGGAACCTCATCCTCCACTGTCACTGGCTTCTCCTTTGATTTCCATAAATCCAAGCATTCCTCAGCATGTTCCTTCAAAATCTCCAGCTGGTTCTGTCCTATGGCATCAATCAGCTGAGAGACAGAGGGCTCTAGAGCAAGAACACACAGACATCAGTGGAGGAGACAGCTGAACTCAGGCAAGCCTCACTTGCAAACACTTTTACCCTGCTGCATGACTTAGTGACTGTCATGACACTGAAACCTGTGGGAGCAGCCACAATTCTGCATTTCCTTTGCTTCTAAAAACTATCTTTCCTTTCTTCACAAATCCTGGACCAGAAGCACGAGCACAGGCATTTAATGTCCCACTCTGCTTCAACTGTCAGCATTATCTCTTCCTGCTTTGGGCTTAGCAATATACACTTGTGAGATCTGACCAGGTCTGTGCTACCTCTGCCTAACATGGACCAAGCTGAGGAAACCCAAGGGCTCCCCCAGGCACTCAGAGCATTGCATGCCCCCCACAACCCTTTACCTGAGCTGGGAGCGTTCCTCACAGCAAGATTCCTCCTGCAATGACCAAGGAGAAGACAAAGCCAGGTTAGGGCTGGGACATACACAGCTCTTGGCCACAGGTCAAGCAGCCTGGATTGGAAGAAGCAGTTTGTGAAAGCAGTGGATCCCTCACTGGATGCTGATCTGGCCACATGCTCAGTATGCCAGGAATAGCCATCAGGAAGCCTCACCCCTGGAGATGGATGGATTGATTGACTGAAGACCCTGGGGATCTCCAAGGATGAGGAATAAGCTGTGCAGGGCTGACCCACACAGCTGTGCTGCCCACCACTGGCAGGAACAAGCTCCTCTCAGGTGTTTCCTCCTAGCTCAGAGGAAGAGGCTGGCAATGTGCCACCATAATTTCATTTTTCCCAGTCTATTCAACTTCGTCACATTCCAGGGCGAGGATTCACACAGGTTAACCAGGAGCTGCCATAACCTGTGCCAGCCCTTGCCAGCCTGCTCTAACGCCAGTCTGAGGCTGCACACATCAGGGTACTTGGATACATCCCTCAGCCCCATACTCACAGCCAGAGCTCCTTTATCTTCTTCATCACAGAGGGGTTCTGGTTCCTGCAGCAAGAAAGAAGCCAGTTACTAATTCCCTCCAAGTCCCTATCTCCCTTCTCCCTTGCTTTGGAGACAATCCCTCCTTTAAAAGGGATTGCCACAACAGGACTCCCAAGGTCAGTGCTGCTGTGGGGAAGATGAAGAAGCCCCCCTGAGCACAGCCCCCACCCAGCCATCCCATGAGCCTTACCCATCAGGTGATTCCATCCTCTGCCTCTGCATGGGCAGCACGATGAACTGCTGGGCCGTGAGGTAAAACTCGCAGTCCTCCTGTGGGGAGAAGGCACCTCTGAGTCCCACCACTGCCCCTGCCCTCCCTGGGGACTGCCAGCATTCCCACACCCACCCCAGCTCTGCCACCAACCCTCCAGTCTAAGAGAAGGTCTCCTCAAAAAGGACAGCACCCCTTCAAACAGGAGTTTGTATCTTCTTGTGTCAGCTGATGGCTCCACAAAAGCCACACAGCAGGGTGGGCCAGCCCAGGGGAGTCTGTGGGGACACCTCTGAACCACTGCAAGGGGACAGTGGGCTGCTCTGCCACCGGCCCATGCAGGCCTTCTGCAGCTGTCCAACAGGCAGAGGTGACAGCCAGGTGACCCAGGGAAAGATGCACCCCATTGAGGAAAGATGTACCCCAATGAGGGCTCATCCCTGCCAGGTCAGCTGCCACAGGCCCCACAGGAGCTGCAGATGGAAATGAAAGGCCACCCATCACCTGCCTTCAGCTCCTGGGAGCAGCTGGGAGCAGGCAAGAGTGCAGGGAGCACAGTAAGGTAAAGGAGCAGGCTGCTTCCACTCCTCAGAGCACTTACCAGCCTGGCCTCGTCCTGAAAACACACCGTGTACTTCTGCAGGACGATAATTCTGCAATTAAGGCTGGAAAGCCTGAGCTGCAGGTGGGCGCTGGAAAGGGAGCAGAGCAGGAGTGCCTTGAAGAACAGAGATGGACCCCCCCTGACACACAGTGGGGCTCCTGCAAGAGCTCTGCCAGCCACACTGGGGCATTCTGGAACATGTCTCAGCATGAGCAGCAGGCACCAAGGGCTCCTTAGTAATTCCTGCCTAAGAGCAGCTTCTTCCTGCTGCTTATCCTTGGCTCTCTGCTGCCAGCACCCCAAGAGTTTAAGGGTGTCCAAATGGGGAAATGGAGGAAAGCACTGAAGGAGCAACCCAGGCTACCATGGTTAATGATCTGGCTCCTTCCACAAAACCCAAGGGCTTTACAGTCCTTTCTAATGGCATCACAGCTTCTGCCATGGATCCCTGCCCGTCCCAACCAGCAGACACTGGAGCAAGAGCATTCCAGCTTTCTTCTCTGAGCAGCTTTTTTACACCAGCTTCCCACCCTGAGGTTGCTTTAGCTTAACACAACCTGAGACAAGAGCAGGCAGGAGCCCCAGGTGCTCCCAGCAGCTGTGCAGAACTGCTGTCCCAGCCACGCCAAGCCATGGTGGAACCCACTTTTCCTCTGCCTGCAGAGCCTCGGCTGTAATGACCACACGGATGTAGCAGGATCCATCAGAGACCTGCACCACAGCGTCCTGGAGCAGCCCAGGCTGGCCAGCTGCACTCGAGTCACTCAAGACCTGTCAGGAGATTGGAGAAAGGGAATAAAAAAAGAACTCTTATTTGTAGATCTGGAACAAGTTTCACAGGAAGGCGGTCACAACACCAAGCTTTTCCTCCTCAAAACAAAAATTAACATCAGAGATGTTGAGGAGGAAGAGTTGCACATCCACAGCCAGCAAACTGGGAAGCACTGTGAACTTCCCAGAACTGACTTCAAAGGCTGTTGGAGCACTTTGGGACAGGCCCTCTGGGTACCTACCCGCACCACCTGCCCAGCCAGGAAATTCTCACGCTCATCCACTTGCTCGTAGTTCACCAAGAGGTCAGCAATCCATGGCTCCAGGACATAGAGTTTGGGAGAAGCCACATTCTTGTCCACACACACAAGACTACACAAGAAGAGACAAGACGCCAAGCCATAAGCAGTGCTCCATCACCCTCGGAAGGGTTTTGCACTCCAAGCACAGCCACAAACGCAGGAGACTGCTCAAATCCACCCAAGTGCACCCACTTCTCTGCAAGCACCCGTGCTAAGGGCTTTGTGCTGAGGAAGCCACGCTGCTGAGGACACACAGGTCCTGCTGCATCCTGCTGGGACAGTGGAGGGGGACACTCACAGCTCTGGAGTGGGCCTGGCCTTCTGCAAGTCTCCCACACAGGAGAGGGCATTTATTTCTTCCATATTGTTCATTATCACCAATAACTATTCGCCTGGAACCAAGTCTTAACTAAAACTGAACTGTGCAAGGGAGAAGAACTGGGGACAGGCAGGGGCTGGGAAAAGGTAAAGGTTGGGGGCAGGCAGTGGCTGAGGACAGGCAAGGGATGAGGGCAGGCAAGGGATGAGGGCAGGCAGTGGCTGAGGGCAAGGAAGGGCTGAGGGCAGCTGGGGCTGAGGGCAAGCGGGTCTGGGCCACACGAGGTTGGCGCCAAGCGGGGGCTCAGAGCAGGCAGGGCAGGCAGGGCTGACCCCCCTCCCGGGCCCCCTCACCGCTCCCCCGCCGCCAGCCCCGGGCTCGCCCCGCCTGGCGGAGCGGCCGCCGCCGCCATGGCCGCGCGGCCCGGAACGGGAAGCGGCGCCCGGCAGCACCACCTCCGGGGCGGGGCGGGCCCTCTCCATCCCTCCCCATCCCCATATTTATGTCCTGTCCTATCCCTGTGCCCAGCCCCGGCGCTTTTCCTGGGTACACGCGTCCCCTTCTAGAAGAGAAGGGTCTGGGGAGACGTCAGAGCCGGTTCCAGTTCATAAAGGGGTTGCAGGAGAGCTGGAGAAGGACTTTGGACCCTGCAGTGATAGCATAAGGGGGAATGACTTCAAATTTAAAAGAAAAAGGCAGGTTTAGGTTAGATATGAGGAGGAAATTCTTCCCTGCTAGTGGGGTGAGGCCTTGGCACAGGTTGCCCAGAGAAGCTGAGGCTGCCCCATCCCTGGGAATGTTCAAGGCCAGGTTGGATGGGGCTCTGGGCCTAAGGGAAGTGACCCTGCCCATGGCGGGGTGTTGGAACAACAGGTTTCTTCCAATCCCAGTCAGAACAGTTTGCCATTCAGTGATTCACACGTGATGCTAAACCATCCCTGCAACTCTACCTTGGTTTTATGTTCTTTCCTTTAGTTTTGGCTCCAGCTCCAGGTAATCCCAGGGTTTCCCCAGATGGTTGCCCGTGGGAAGAAGCATCCTGCCGCAACAGCCTTGCCCATCCTTTATCTCATGTTAAGGTATCAAAGCCACTTCATCAAGTCTGTCAAGCAACCTGGGAGATGTTCTGGCTGAAGGGATGGGAAATTCCTGCCCTCACCCAGTTCAGCTGTGACTTGGGGCAGTCAGTGCCTTCCTTCTCCGTGCCAGAGGCTGTGGTTCCATCAGTGGGCTGACACTGGGGGCACTGAAATGGCACAGCAAGATGGATATAATTGTCACCCTGTATTTGGTTTGCATGGCCAGGCTTTGGTGGGGTGGGCCTTCTGGGGAAGCTGCCAGGAGCCTCCTCCATGTCCGGCAGAGCCAGGGGCAGACATGTTGCTGGCCAGGGCCAAACCCTTCAGCCACAGTGGTAACACTGCTGTGATAACATATTTAAGAAGAAAACAAAAAAGTTATTGTGCAGATGTAATTGCAGCCAGAGAAGAGTGGAGTGAGAATATGTGAGGGGAGTAGCTCGGCAGACACCAAGGTCAGTGCAGAAGGAGGGGGAGGAGGTGCTCCAGGCACTGGAGCTGAGATTCTCTTGCAGCCCATGATGCAGCTATGCCTGTGCCTGAAGGACTGCACCCCAGGGAAGAGTGATCCATGTTGCAGCAGTTTGTGGAGAACTCTTGCCCAGGAGATGGACTCATGTTGGAGAAGTTGATGGAGAACTGTCTGCCATAGGAGGGACCCCATGCTGGAGTTGGGGAAGGACTCCAACTCTTCTCCCTGAGTCCCAGCAGGGAAAACATGTGATGAACTGACCACAACCTCCATTCCCTGCCTCCCTGCACTGCTGAGCAGGGGGAGGTAGAGCTGGGGAAAAGGGAGTGGTGGAGGGGAGGTATTTTTAAGATTTATCTTACTTCTCATTATCGTGCTCTGATTTTGTTAGTAACAAATTCATTTAATATGCCCAGTTTGAGATTGTTTTGCCTGTGGTGGTATTTGGAGAGTGATCTCTCCTGGACCTTATCTCAACTCATGAACCTTTGTTACATTTTTCCTCTCCCCTGTCCAGTTGCAGAGGGAAGTGATAGAGAGGCTTTGGTGAATGTGAGGCATCCAGCCAGGGTCAACTCACCACACACACAGAAGAGGAGGCAGCAGGGTTTGCTCTTACTGAAAAAAGCTGATTTATTTGGAAGAGTTGCATTTGGATGGAGGATCAAATCTCCTCAACATGGGAAGTCATCATTGTCCAGTTGCAAAGCAAAGTTGGAGCAGCATTTCCAGCTGGAGGAGGAGAGGTTCCACAAGCTTATGCACCCTAGTTCTGCCCAATCACATGCCATAGAAGTGGTTATTAATTAAACTACCTACACAACATCTCTGAACTATCTTAAATGTGTATATTCCACTGTTGCAAATGATCTGTGCAGTTTGAGTGATGCTGCAGCAGGAACCAGCTGGGGAGGCAATGGGATCACAGAATCAGAGGATCATTTAGACAGGAAAAGACCCCTAAGACCACCAAGTACAATCCATCCATCATCCATCAGATGCCCAGACCCTCCCTGCAGGGTGGGGACGCATGGAAGCATGCAGGTCATGGTTCTCCATTGATTTTAGGTGCAACAGGAGCTTCTGGAGGATGATTCTATAATTCAATGATCCTCAGGCCTGTCCAAAGCTCCTGAACCCACCAGTCAGATGCTTCCCTGGGAGTTCAGTCCATCAATTGGTTCAGTACTGCAGGAAAGAGCTGGGCAGTACCTGGACCACCCTGGGGCTGGATGTTCCCCTGCAGTGCAAGTGCCTGAGCACAGCCCTGGCTCCCAGCTGCACCAAAGTCACACCCAGGGGCAAACCTGAATTTTATCATAGCATCACAGAGCCATAGTTTGGGCTGGAAAGGATGTTAAAGACCATCTAGTTCCAACCCTCCTGAACAAGTAGGGATGCCTTACACTAGACCAGATTGCTCAGAAGCCCGTGCAGCCTGTCCATGAACACTTCCAGGGACGGGGCAGGGATTATCCTTCTATCACACTTAAATATTATAGATGCTGTTAGAGCAGACTCTGAGGAAAGGGGTCACTCTGATCTGCCCTGGAGGGTTTTTCCCAGTGGTCCTGGAGGGTTTCTAGGTTTCTCAGCCTGTTCTTGTGGCTAAGGAACACTTGTCTGTCCTGGCTGCTCCATCCTCAAGTCCTCAAGTGGAATTCACCTGTCCTGACTGCTCCATCCCCAGCCCTGGCATTGCACGAACTAAGGCCAACAAACTGCAGTATGCAGAGTCAGCGAGACCAGCCTTGCCTGCCTGACCTTGGGCAAGGGGAGGGACAGGCCTGGCATCCCAGGAGGGAGGGAGGTCGTGGGAGAGGGTGTCACACTGCAAGGACAGGGATAGTGCTGGCCCTGAAAACCAAAAGGCTCAGGTCTGGCAGCATAAAGCAACACTCCTGACACCCAGCCCAGGGCATTCCCTGCCTGGGCAGGACACTTGGCTCCCTTTGCATCATTCCACAGCCAGCAGGAAAAGTGGATCATGGGTATGGACCAGAGCCAAAAGATTGAGGTGCAGGCAGAGAATTTCTGAGAGCCACGAGCTGATGCAAGTCCTCATGGGAACATGTGAGATAACCAAGTAGCAAAAGGCACTGGCAGAGTCCAGGCGTGAGCAGTGCAGCCACAGCCAGGGCAGCATGGCAGGGCTCCACGTCCGCTCTCTTCTGGTGACCGGGGCCAACCGAGGCATCGGCCTGGGGCTCGTCCAGCATTTCCTGAGGATGCCAAACCCACCTCAGTGGATCTTTGCAGGCTGTCGGGACCCCAAGGGACAGCGAGCACAGGTGAGGCTGGGCAAGGGGAGACTGGATCAGGAATGGTGTTTGCAATGGGCTGGAGCTGCAGTCAAGCACCTGCAGCACAGGTCAGCCAGCTTGGGACACCACAGGACCAATTGCATGGGATACGTGGAGGGGGGAATGGCACCAGGCATGTATAGAAGGCACAGAGCCCCACTGATGTGGCAGCTGCCGCAGGTGTTGGACACAAAGTGATGCAGGACAGAGATGAAGTGGCATGGGCTTTGCCTGGGAATGAGCCTCTGCACAGCCCCTCCAGCCTCTCCATGCCTACACAGTGCCCTCTCTTTCAGGAGTTACAGAATTTGGCCTCCAAGCACCCCAACATCATCATCATCCCGCTCGGTAGGTGCCCCAAGTGCGGATCCTTTGCCCCAGCTCCTCTGGCGAGTGCCCAGGCTGGGCACACCCTGGGAGCCCCGTGCTGGGAGGGAGCTGTGCCATGGGCTGGTGCCTGCAGGGCCATCGGGCACTGCCACCTCTGGGGGAACAGAGGGGACTCCAGCATGGGGACACAGGCTCTGACCTCCCTCTGTTGGCTCTGCAGAAGTCTCTGACCCCGCCAGCATCAAGGCAGCTGCAGCCAAGGTTGGGGAGCACCTGGGGGGCTCTGGGCTCAACCTCCTCATCAACAATGCTGGAATTGTGAAGTTGAACACGCTTGATACCGAGACATCAGAGGACATGAGGGAGATTTACACCACCAACACAATTGGACCCCTGCTGATGGGTCAGGTGAGACCCTCACTCACGTTGGGCTGTCCTGGAGAAGCATGAAGGGCTGGTGGGAGGGGATCCTGCCTCCACTCTGATTACTAATGGGCTCTCAGTTGATGAGAAGCTTGTGGAGCCATGGGCTGGAGCTCAGGAGCTGGAGCCTGGCAGGGAAGAGGAGGGAGGATGCCCCCCAGTGCTGGTGTCCATGTTGCCCACTGTGGAAGGAGCTTTTCCCCGGCCCTGTGCTGTGTCCATGTGTGCTCCTGTCCCCTCTGTTTCCTCACAGGCATTTCTGCCCTTGCTGAAGAAGGCTGCCCAGGGGAGCCCAGGCTCAGGGCTGAGCTGCAGCAAGGCTGCCATCGTCAACATGTCCAGCATTGGCGGCTCCATCGCTTCTGCCTTTGGTTGGGAGTTGATGCACGTCACCTCATACCGCTGCAGCAAGGTACTGTC